CTTGGAAATACCTGGCGGTACTGAAAGTCGTATAGTTCTTTGAAATTGGACATGTGATTCCCAGAAAAACTCAGCTGGCAAACTTAAGCAAGGTTAAGCAGGCTTAATTTCTTATGCATGAAGTACATCAAGCCGACCGTATAGTTTCAGGTTTCGTCGCTATCGCTAATGATGAACCTTGTTTTCCTTGAGCTATACCTTAAAGTGATCTGATGTTGTAATCTAGGAATGTCTAGAACTATGTAAAATACACTCATTTTTTAATTTTTATAAAAATTGAACGAGAAACAGAGTCAAAAACTCGGTTATTTGCTTTGGTTCTTGAACATGAGGCATCTTCAAGTGATGTTGTACAGAACTCATGTGAGCAGAGTTAAGTCTTTCGTGTTTTCTCTCTCAGTTGACTGAGTTAAGCATGGTTTGATCATGCAGAGATGGTTCATGTTCTTGAATGAGAGCTACCTTAAAGTGGTCTGATGTTGTACAGAACTCATGTGAGTAGAGTTAAGTCTCACCTGTATTCTCTCTCAGTTGACTGAGTTAAGCATGGCTAGATCTTGCAGAGGTGGTACATGTTCTTGAATGAGAGCTACCTTAAAGTGATCTGATGTTGAATTTGGTGTTGATTTTTGCTTTTGGTGTAGGAACTTCTCCTATCCTCCAACCCCATCCTTTATTGTCAAAGTATGTCCCTATACTATACTGTATGTCCATATATATACCAACACACGGATTTGCATATAACTACCACAAAACCACGACGCCAAACCTTTTGAATCTTAAAAGTTTAAAATCGTGAAACGAAAATGGTTGTTCAAGCCTTCATCTGTCTTATTATCTGCCTTCGTTTTCTCTCTGGAGACGCAATATTCTTTCGATGTTCCAACCAAACTCGATTAGAAAACACGTGTCGAAGTCGTTATCCCTCAGTTCCAACCACTTGTTGGCTCTTTCGGAGCTGTAAGGAGTATGAGTGTAAGAAGGAACGAAGAATCAAGTTTGGCTCTTGTTATGATGGCGTGTGCAATGGAACCGAAAACGTGTACAACTGCCCGGCTGATTGCTGTCCAGCAAAGAACTACAACTGTTCCTTGTCCTCCTTGGGGAATGACCGATGTCCTTTGAGCTGCTGTAAAACTTCGGCTTGCTGTAGTGGTCGACAGCGCCATAATTATCGCAGCAGCAGCAGTAGCAGTCTTGGTAGTATAATTGGATCTATTTTTGGGTTAGCAGTGTTCTTGGCGATTGGATATTATGTGCATAGGCGCTGCTCACGAATCTGTAGTTCTTCAGGATCTGAGGGTTTTGATGTCGTCGTGTTACGTCGTCGCTGAGGCCCGGCCACGTTTCCCCCGATGGGCGCGTGCCAGTGATCCTCCTTGTAGACAAACTGTTGCAACTAGATAATTATTTAAACATATAGATTAAGAAAGAACAACTTCATATCTAGATAGGTTCTTAGGGGTATAATCCATGTATTTAACTTATGAAAACGCTTAATGCTTTTAGCTGCATTCTAAGCGATCCTTATGCGATAATTTTACAAATTAATAAAATTAGATGTATCACAAAACATCAGATTATTTGTGTTTATTAAGGTGTGCGTTCGTGGATGGTTTTTGTACATAATTTTATTATAGATTCAAGGTTTTTAATTTGAACATCTGCGCTATTCTGGTTGAATCTGTTTTTGTTAAAAGTTCGGTCAATGAATGCATCGTTGAGCCGCTAACAATGAGATTTTCAAAGAAATGCAGCTGCAAGGAGTTGCACCTGCTCTTATTTGTGGAAATACCGATAGTGAAAGTTTTAGATTTCTTTGTAATTAAACATGCCATTCTTAGAAAAGTCGACGCTGTTCAGTATCGTGCAGAGTTTAATGGCTGTTATCCATACGCGTCCAACAATATGCTGAACTCAAAAGTGGCGATAATTGTGAATTTTAGTTCGGAATCCACTTGGAGTCAAGCACGGTTTCATGTTGTTTCAAACACCGTCCGAATATACAGTAGAAGTTGAATCTATTTTAACATATTGAGCATATTTTCCCTTAGATCGTGTGGAAGTGTCAAGCGATATAGATAAAAACGATTTTGAAACGCTGAAAACGACGCTCATGTGCACATAGCCTAAATCACTGTTGCGATTTGAGCGTTCCAGGTATACTTCGTAAGTGATGGTTAGACATAATAAATCAACACTATAAGACAACTTCAATTTCTTTGCCAATAACTAAGGGTTATCATCGGGTTAAATAAGAAGGTTTATAGGGAACTGAAACTTAACCCTTATACTTGTCCGAGTTTAACTTCATTTTATTTTTAGATGAAAATTCATGAAATCATAAACACATCTATAAATACTGTATGGAGAATTCTTACATTTCGATTGCATGCAAAAAATATGCCTCGTCACGACACAAGATCACGGACAATATTGTCTAAACGCATTATTAAAAGCAGCACAACAGGCAAAAACTTGGTCCAAAAATAGAGCTCAAGTGACACCTAAATTGACACATTGCGGAAACACTCATCTATTTTTAAACATATCACGTGGATAGTCGAAAGTGACGTCAATAATTTATTATTATTTTAATATCGAATAAAGAAAATATTTTTAAATTTATTTTTATCTGGCAATTTATAAGGTCCAGTCGAGCCAAAAACTAAGTTTTAGAATTAGATGGAACTGTATTTACAGTCATTTTCTCTCGTTTCTGGTTATCCAAGGCAGTTTATACTGTTGTATATGGTTAGATTGCTGAGGCTGGTTGTTCGGGAAGTTTATAATTACGGTTATTTAAAATTAACTTTAAAATTGTAAATTCAATCTTGGCCATGCTAAAAGTCGAAGAATTTTTTAACTTTCCCTATCCAGTGGACGGCTTTGTCGTCGAAACTTATATTGTCTACCGTCTTTGATTAAACCAGGAAGTTATAATGTTTTTGAAAATAATTAAAACTTAAACGTAATCGTTCTGGTTCATGTACCAACTATCTAAAAGACAATATAAGTTCTTTTTGCAGCAGGTAGTTTAAATATAACAGAATATTATTCTAGTATTTCTCTTGTCTAGTATAACTCTATACACTACGAAACTTTTGTTATTCGTATAAGCCGTTTATGCAGTGCTTCATAGACTGTTATTTACATTCAATAAACTGTCACGCGCGAGCAATGTTTATTTATGACTCACCACTTAAGGTTCAATTTTAACAAGAGAGGGGAAATACCGAAGTATGCAGAGAAAACCCCTCTTGAAGGTCAGATCACTCGACCGCCGACTGTGTCATTGATTAATCTTAGACAGGTTCACACCAGTACGGGTTATAAGAACAAGCGCGCTTATAACGAATCTTCCTTACTTTGCTTATCAAACAAATTTTAAAACACGACCATCGCAACCAAAGGGCTTCTCACGGTGTTTACATCCTGAATAGAAGTCCCTCCTTATCAGTCGACAAGCAGCTTTCTTTGCAAACTCTTTCTCTAAATATACTCTCTTAGATGCTCCCAACAATTCGTATATATAATAAAGCCTGCTCTCATTTCGTTTTAAATGATCATTTTCATCGATGTTAAATAGTCCTGTTTTCTGTGTTCGAAACGGTCATTGTTGGTGGCTTGGTGCACACACGTGGCAATATCATGACTCATTCTATCGAACACCTTGAAAATACTTACGACAATTACACGTCTAATTGAAAACCATGCAGGCTTCGGTGAAGGAAATATTTGGGACCTCAATAATCAAAACATATACATTTATTATATTCATATTCATACACTATTAAATCTCGTATTTGTTAATCAAGACACCATACTCGCAAATCTCTCGAGTCTCGAGGGCGTGCCTTGTAATCAAACAACAGCTGTAGATTAAACTGAAATCGCGAGATTTGGTATCTAGGAATCATCTGTGAACCTTTGGGCTGGTTGCATGCGGTGAATGGCTGGGCGTCGCCCGTGAACAAAATCCTCGCAGAACTTATCATGTCTGTTGTGAAGACACTCAGGCGGCAAACCTCATTAGCACGCTGCTCTAATAACATTTTCAGGCGACCAGCCTGCTTAGCGCATGCTATGATCATAGTATTGTCAGCAAGACAGTCTTGAGATACCATCACCCCGCTACCAAGGAGTATAAAACATGACAGCCACACCCAGCGATTATATTGAACGTCAAGTCCTATGTGAACTTGATGCAAATTAACCTTGTTATCGGACACTCTAAAAGCGAATCCGTCGTGCTAAGTTTGAAAATATGCTAAACTAATCTGAGTATTTATTCACTGCTCTTTAGAGATCCAGCAAGGATCTTGATAAGCTAAACTGTAACTTCATTTAAACTGTTCTTCCTGGAGGTTCAAGAAAGATAATTTCTTAAACCTAAACTAAACTAACTTTATTTCTACTGGATAGCTCTATCAGTTCTGAACTGTTCTTCCTAGAGGTCCAGTAAGGATAATCTCTTATTGATCCAGTTTTACTACAGGAGGAAACCTAAACTAAACTAACTTTATTTATACTGGATAGTTCTATCAGTTCTGAACTCTTCTTCTTAGAGGTCCAGTAAGGATCATCTCTACGTCATCCAGTGTTAGTACAAAGGAAACCTGCTACAGAAACGTACTAACTCTATTCATATTTCGGTAGCTATACATTAGTTCTAAAGTTTTCCCTGACCAATGGAGGTCGAGTACTTCATATATCTTAAACATCGAATGATATAATTATTTAATTCCGTCTGGCAAACCTCTTTACTCCTAATTTAGTTTTGTGAAAATCTGTCGACCGGACTATGCAGTGGTAGCTAAAAAACCGCTCTTAAACTCGCATAACACAAATCCATCACAATCCATTTTTTACTTTTTTTAAAAGGTCCATGTTGAACTGAGGAGGGTGAATAATTGAGCAGCGTTGGCATGACGATGACTGTTAATTAAATTAAGTTGCTTTTGTATTAACCTTGGTATTTGTTTTGTTTATCTCTGTAGGAAAAATGCTGATGTACAAGTTGATAAAATTGCTAGATATATTGGAAGCGATGGGTGTGGCACTACTGTTATGGCTAGCGGTAACCGTAAGTTCTAAATTAATTTGATTATCTGATTAATATCATCTTTTGACTTTATCACGGAGCGCACGTGCAGTCGCAAGCGCTTTTTATGGGATGCACGACTCTGGTCTGATTGATTGAAACTTGCCTGAAGGTTGAGTAGAGTCAGGGATGGGCCAGGAATACTGCGTAATAATAAAAATATGAAAACAAAATAGCAATTCTTGAATTCACGCCTTGTCGTACTGTGCGCTATCCCTGCAAACTCGTGCTTGGGAGTAAAATTTAGCACAGTTCTTGACAAACTTACACTGACTACAACATAACATTCAATCGATCTGAACCAAATGCCTTGTTTAGCGACTAAGGAAATTAAGGAGAGCAAGCGAAACTGTTTAATACAAGCGTGTGCATTTTTTATTAAATCACTTTTAAAAAATATTTCCTGAAAGGATAAATTCCTTTATAATTAAGCAAGCACATGCATGCAAGCACAAGGCAGGGTCTGATAATATTTGAAAATACCTGGAGACAAAAACATTCATTTAAATTGGCTGTGTGTTTGCATATGGCTTGACCATTGTTGTTTTCATATTTCTTACATATTGGACAAACGTCACCAGGAAATGACAGGAATATTGTTTTTTATTCTCTCTTGCATACCAGTGGACCACACGCATTTTATAAAAAAATGATTTTGCATTTTTGCGGTTCTGTCCCATGTCAATTACGATTATACGGCGACCGTATAATCGTTGCCGAGCAAATTCAAACGAGTTATAGTTGCCGAGCAAATTCAGCAGCTGATGTTTACACAGCAAAATTCAAACCTCAAACTTTCATTTCCTTTCAAATATTTGGTTACTGTGTTTATAACGAAAGGAATTGTGAATATACCTTATGCAATTTATATTGTAATAACCAATTTGCAATCATTAATCATTTGCAATCTCATCAACAAGAAAGAGAAAGCTTTGCTCTTTCTAGTTTCTCATAGACAATATTATATTGTGGAGAACGCTCTCATGGGAAAATTTGATGACGATAGCAGTCTGGATTTTATGTGTGAAAAAGTTGAGTGTCCATGTCGTTTCTCGTTTGGCCTTTTCTCTTTTGTTTTAAATATCTTCCAAGCTAAGCTTGTAAAATAACGATCTGCGTGTTTGATGTCTAATGCTCATAATAATTCAAGGTGAAAGAGAAGCTCAACTTTTGTATGTTTTTATTTTAATACGTCTTTTCGACGTGTATATATTTCACCGAACACAAACCACAAATATTGAACAGTAATATAATGATGATCTGGTTGAACAAGGGCATTCGGAATGTTTGCCAACTTTGCCAAATATATACGTTTATCCTATTTCCAAAAACCACAATTCGCTGCCAATGGGAAGGCATTTCTAATGAACTCCGCCTAGTTCTTTATGATTTTAATTATATTATAATCTTTTATATACATGATGGTGAGATGGCCTTTTTGTGTTCATTCATCGTCACTAATAATACTATAATTGAAAGTGATCAAGGTGTTTCATTAGACAAGTGGAAAGGCGTTGCATAGTTCATAATAGTATTTTGTATTGTGGTCAATTATAAGTTTACAGTTGCTAGGTTTTAAGTGTAAACAGAAGTAGACAATATCTGAGTGTTATATGATTGGATTATGACAAGTATTGTATTCAAATCGGCCGAGTATTATGACTATTATTGTAAACGAAAGTTACCAGATGCTCTGGCAGTCTTTTCTATAATCATTCTTAAACATGATTCAGGTTATAAACGATCCTGAATAGTTTTGAATATGAACATTTGCTATTTTGCTCAGAAGCGGATAAACTTGAAAATGTAACTGAAGTGGTCTTGTCTTAAAGTCTAACAGGTCACTTAGGGGGTGGAGAAGGGGGAGATTCTCCTATGCATTCTTATACGCGGTTGATTTAGCTATTCATGTGAAACTAAAATCTTTTTGCGAGTTAACTCAGCGATGCAGGTCTGATCTGTAGATATGATTTAGACATTTCGCTTGATGAAGATCAAGACAAGAGGATTCATAGTCGATGAGAAATCAGACGAAATTTAGATAAGAACTATAGTTATACATCTTGAAGAATTCGATTTTTGAACTAAATTGCTTGGATATACCTTTGCACCATTCAATTCAACCTGTGATTTAACAGACAATTCAAACTTTCAAAGGCACAACGTTTTTCAAATCATTACCAGTCAGAAAAAATATACAACAAATATTTTCACCAACTATATACCGATGTATACACATCTTCGTATTTTCGAATCAGTTATGTACATCGATTTCTTAAGGTAATCTGATAGGAAATCATCGTGAATTGAACGAAAGCAATATCCTAGCGAAGTTTATACGATGTCTTGCAGCACTAGCTCCATGCATTGATTTCCTTATGTGGGATTAAGTGTAGGTCAAATATCACGATAAATATTTCACAGTACCTAAGACGAAACATCTGTTTTCTTATAACCCCCCCCTCAAGACTTCCTGAGAATATCTTGTTTCATTGTCAGTTGATTTCCTTCCTTTATCCTACGCAAGGTCCATATTTCATCACAATTTGATGATTTTGATTGTTTAAAATATGTTAGTATATCAATGAGTTCATTTGCATCACGGCTGTTCTGGAACCAATCTTACGAATCTTGCACAACGCGCGCGGGAAAAACAGTAATTTTCCCTCGTCTGAAAGCAAAACTATAAATATATCATTGTGCATGAGCTAAAGCCTAAAGGCATGCATAAATAGTTCAGTATCAATTGCATGCTTTCGAAAATCATTTAGCCGAAATAAGGTAAAACCTTATTGCTTTCATAAACTGTACATTTTATTCAATTTTGTACATATATACAGATCGTGAGGTACGTTTTATTGCATTATAATATTGCCTTAAAAGTACAAATTTTGTGCGGTTTTCCTGAACTTATAATTGGCGATCTAGTTTAGCAATGAATCCACTGGCGTTGGAATTTGTCGAATAAATATAAACTATAGACAAATAGAAACAAAAACAACGTTTTAAGGGGTGCATAGGTCTAGACACCAAGACTTCGCGAAGCCATCTCGGTAAAGTGAGGTGCTTCATTCTCTCTCAATCATAACATCGAGTAATATCAAACCCTAAAACTTGGAATTTCCGCTTATTTGACATGGCGTTGACAGGTCGTATTGAACCAGTAGCGTCTCAGCATAGGGTGGCATCTTAAAATGCATCTTCTCGTGGGCGTTCTTGATCTTCAAGGTGGGTGTATGGGTTGAAAACAATTACGAAATATCAGATGTTCTAGCTGGTCGTGGCTTGATGATGTGTTTGGCATCCATGTCGCCTTGCCTAGTCCTCTGCCCGCGTAGATAGTGTGATGATATGAGCAAAGGATATTTTTAAATTCCGCCCACATTGCGAAATATGCACTGTGTTGCGGACTTCCAAAAATACTGCTGGTGTCACACTTGTGTGCGTACTGCGAATGCCTCTTTCCTTCCTGTTTTGTCTTTTGCAATATATGCGTTTCTTTGATCGCCATATCTCGGTTTCATCGCGTCCATTTCACAGAAGTTGAGTGTTTCAGCGACTTGCAAAAACCGCAGATAAAAATCAAGTTAACCGCGCAAACTTAATCTGCAAGTTGGACTCATAAAAACGATCGACAGTCCTTCATAAACTTTGCCTTTGGGAAAAGAGTTACAAATAGCCGGCATGACATAAATGAAACAAATTACCGTCTACAATTTACACCCGTTGTGGAATAGAATGACTTTACGGATGTGGACATCAGCGAGCTTTTACATTCCCGGTACAAAAATAAATATTTCCCAATTTATGCAGATCGTTGCGTTCTTTCCTTCTTGTATCTTGCTGTATTACATTTCAGTTTCCGACAGTTGGCTTATGCTAAAGACGTTTATTGAATCAAATCGGTTAAACCGTAGCCTTAGCCTGTTCAATTATAACAACCAGCAATGTAAAATTGTTTGAAAGGAATTTCGTATCCGTACTTGAGAAAAAATTTTCCTGTTGTTGAAAAGTAAAGATTCTCAATGTTTGCAAGGAACAGGGACCTGCATGCTTCAACATGAAACGCACTTTTTTTATTCAAAATACATGCATCATGTTGGTTTTTTCTCAAATTAAACCGAATGTCCATGCAGTTTTGATGTACTAAAGATATTTATAAAAGCATCAAATTTAGCTGTCTTTATAAACAGCGACTCGAAGTCTCGAACTGTGAGACATGCGCATGAAACGTCTTAGTTTTTGTTGTAAACGCCAAGTAAATTAATGAACAGCAGACAGCATGTGACACATTGAGTTTTCCGATGCATAACTATATGATTTCTCTCGGCGCATACAACTACGATGTTTGAAGAATTCCGTTTTTATGCAGCAACGTCTGGTTACCAACTTATTTTAAAGTATTTCAGCGCAATATTCGCATAAAAAAGATTCCGCGCAATAAAGTGTTGGAAGTTCCTCGATCAAATCTTGGAAAGATGCCCAGAGCGTACATGCGACTATATAGTTGTTCCCTAAAATGCCGCGTGTATAATCGCTGTTTTAAAAATAAGTCGTCAACATTCGTCTCAGTATAAACACTCCCTGGCATGTTTGCCCCCCTTATTAGCCTAACGTCAATGGGGATTTGTGCCAGAGTTCATCTGACCAATCACGAGGCTCGTACGGCCATTCTCAACGATTAGGGTGGGTTTATTTACACATTCCACAATGGATATCGAATGACTCAGAGGAAAACCATTTAAAGCCGAAAGCTGAGGACATCTGGCTTTAGTACAGCTTTGCCATCCGGGAAGGAAACATATTGTTTGAAATTCACAACAGTACTTGCGTTTCAGCCAAAAGATATTGCCACATATCTTTTAGAGAAGTTTTCACCTTGAAGTAAAGACTTTTTATTGTGAGTTACAAGTCATTTCGGCGAATTTTTCTTGTCGAGGTAAGCCATAAATCACATTTTATCGCATTAGTGCTTGCATATG